CAGGAGCACTTGGGTTGGGAATATTTGTTCCCTCAAGGCTACCACAAAGCTTCCAGTCTTTGAAACTGCGGGGCCAGGGGATGCACTCTCCAAATTAGATAATAATTTCTGAATGGTGCTTTTGAGGGCAAAAGGACTGAGATAAAGGGATGGAAGGAAAGGAGCTACAATTTACCCCTCTGCTTCACTGCAGGGGGCTGAGGAAGATTGGAAGGGTGCTCCCTCATAGTTCTAGTGCCTTCCTTGGCACTAAAGCTCAGGGAGTGGGCAGAAGATAATTTCTGAGTAAAGTCGTAAAGTCTCCCCCTTAAGCCCTTAGATAACTCTCTCCCTTCGGTCTGCAAGTTTGTCATTAGAAATTCTTTCTTTGAAGAAAATCCTGCCATTTACAACAACACGGATGGACCTCGAGAGCATTGTGTTAAGTGAAATAAGCCAGAGAAAGACAAATCCCGTGTGATCTCGCTTTAAGTGGAATCTAAGATAAACAAACAAACAAAAAAACCCCAAAATGGAGCTCATAGATACAGAGAACAGATTGATGCTTGCCAGAAGTGGGGGTGGGGATGTGTGGATGAAATGGGTCAAGGGGGTCAAATTGTACAAACTTCCAGTTATAAGATAAATAAATCCTGGGGATGTCATGCACAGCGTGGTGACTACAGTTAACAATCCTGTATTGTATATTTGAAAGCTGCTAAGAGAGTAGATGATAGAAGTTCTCATCAGAGGGAAAAAAAGAACAAATTTGTGACCGTGTGTAGTGAGAGTTATTAACTAAACTCATGGTGGCAATCAGTTTGCAGTATATGCATATATCAAATCATGGACACTTAAAGCCAATACAGTGTTATATGTCAATTATATCTCAATTAAAAAAAAGAAATTCCTTCTTTGGACTGAGACGTTATTCTCTTCAAGAGGCCTCTTTGAAAATGGAGCATGCTAACATGAGAGTGCTTTACTTTGATGATCAGGACCAAAATAAACTTCTTTTTAAAGCAATTAGAAAACCTCTCAATCCAGTTGTTCCCTGAGCTGTCATCAACCAACTGATGCGGAAGGAAAGGTGAACTGCTCCAAGAACAAGCTTTCCAGAAAGTAGGGCTTCAAAGGAATGGCTTTGCCACATACTAGAGCCCTCGGTTGCGGGGAGGTGAGGTGCGGTGAGGAGAGCAAGTGTCTCAAATTTCTTTGAGAGGCCGTGAGACTGAAATGAGGTTAGTTGACAGATGAGAGCTGTAGTGGCCTCCATCGCCCACAGAACACCACATCGGATCCTTCCTAGAGCATGAGAACCCCACCTGTCTTATCCCACAGAGTCTTATGAGAGTGCCCTCCAAGGAAGGGTACCACGCACCAGACTGTTGGAGCAAAAAGTGGGGAATAGCAGGGCAAGTACCCAGGCAAGAAGGGGTTAATTCAGGAGCTGCTGTCAGTCTTGACCCTCCTAATCCTCTCCTGCAGTTCCAATCCCTCCCCTAAGGAAAATTAAGTAAGAATCCTAAGCGAAGCCTTCTTGCCCAGCCCTTGGGCCATGGCTTGTGTTGGCCTCATGCCCAGAAGACAAATTCAGCTGGCAAGCCTAGAGTTCTGTGTTCTTCCCAAGCCACCAAGGCTTGACTTCTAGGAGAACCCCTTGAAGAGAGGAGTTATTTTGAAAGCTGCCTGCTTCTAAGAACAGCTGTTCAGTCTTCTAGATTTGTCAAAGTGGCTTCCTGTCCCCATTCCTTTATTTGAGACTTAAAACTTTGGAGATTTTTTTTTCTCATCAAACTTAGGGCCCTGAGAAGTTAGGGGACTTCCTCAACAGGTTCCAGGCAGAGGCGAGATGAGAAGTTAGTCTTGATTCTCAGGCCAAGACTCATTCTCTAAACCCTCCACTGCTCATCACACAAAGAAAAGTAGAACCCAGACTGGCTCACCATCCAACCACTTGCTAGTTTTGTCCACCTCTGACTTCCAGACCCTGGCAGAAAGCCGACCCCACTGGGCCATTTTTTCCCATTTGAATAAGCTTCAATGACTTGTTCTTCCCCCAGACTCTTTAGATTCCAAGCCTCAGTGACAATATTTTTAAAATTCTGCCTTCCCTCAGCCCCAAGCCACTTTCCTACTTAACTCCTACTGAGTTAGGACTGGCTCTGGGGAGAGGCTCTCCTCTTGGGGACACTGTTGACTCCCATGGGAAACCCAAGCTGTGCTCTTCTGCCACCACCCCAGGAAGGCCAAAGCAGGAGCTGCTCCTCTGGGAGGCAGGGAAGTCTTCTCTGAAAGCTCATATGTGCATAGGAAGCACAAAGGGAAAGTATTTAACCCAGCTTGGGTTGGAAGAATGGTCCAGGGAAGGTTTCATGGAGAGGACGAGTCCTGAAGGATGACTAGCAATTATCCAAGCAAAGGGTGGATGGCTGAATAACATGGTTAAGGGTCTGGAGACAGAGAGAAAGGCAACTTCAGAGAAGCACATGTGCAGGTATGATTGGATTGTGTGTGTGTGTGTGTGTGTGTGTGTATGCACAGAGGAGCATAAAGTATGAAGTTGGAGGTTACTGGTTACAGATGAGCCTCAGAAGAAAAGCAGGAGCCAGACTTTGGAGGGCTTTCCTGATTTCCTGGGCAAGACACTTTGAACTTCATTGTGAAAGCAATTAAGAGGTCTCAAAGTTTTTTAAGCATGGCAAAGAGGTGGGGTGGTACTAATGATTTGATTGACGTTTTAGAAAGATTCTTGTCTACTGGATTGATTGCCGGGGCAGGGCAGAAGTGGAATTAGAGAAACCAGTTTGAGGTACCTATGAGATTTTCAAGTAGACAAGAGGTAATAGTTACAGGGTTTGAACTAAAGTCCAAGCAGTGAAGATGGAAATAAGTGGAAGCATTCAGGATGTATCTTGAAAATAGATCTGATAGGACTTGGTAAGTGATTACACATTAAGAAGAGATGAGGAACCAACCAAGGGTGACTGGCTTGGGTTGCTGGATGAATGACGGTCCCACTGAGATAGGGAACTCTGTATGAGAAATAGTTTGGGGGTGGAGAGAGAAGACTAAAGGTGATTTCAACTTTGCAAAATGTTGAGTTGGAGGTACCATTAAACTGTTCAGATGGGGTCATTCCAAATGCAGCTGCGTATACAAATCTTGAGTTCAGGAGAGAGATCTATGTCAGATGTATGGATTCAATATTCATTGGCATAGAGACAGAGTGGATGTGATCACCCACGGAGAGTGTAAAGAACATGAAGAGCAGTCTAGAAGACTAGATGAAACCCTGGGGTGGAGGGATTAGGCAGATTTAGAGAATGGTTAGAAGAGACAGAACTTATAAAGGAGACCTAAAGGAATCATTTTGAGGAGCAGGGAAAACTGGGAGTGGTGCTACAGAAAACAAGGGAGAAGACAGATATATGAAGGAGAGGGACCAGGTGAGATGACAGAGATATGACGACTGGATTTGGGGACCAGGAAATTGGAGTGACCTTGGTGAGAACATTTTCAGTGGTGGGCTGATGGCCGAAGCCTAACTTCAAAGAGTTGAATAGTGAGTAGGAGGGGGAAGAAGTAGAGACATCAGTATTAAAATGGCTTGTTTAAGAATCTTGGCTGCAAAGAGCATGATGGGGCTAGGGCAATAGCTGCAGAGGGAGGAAGTAGGGTGGAGAGCTCAAAGAGAGTGCTAAGTATTTGATGTCATCACCAGGAGATGCTCACCAGGGAGAAGTTGAAGGACTTCCAAGCAGCTCTGAAGGCCCCATCGAGGTGCACAGTCATGATCAGGATAGGTAGAATTGTGCCCATTTTAGCAATAAGAAAACCAATGCACGGAAAAGACTTGTGCAGTGTCACAGCTGATAAGTGACAGAGCTGGGAGTCAAATAGATTGCCCTCTGCACCTCCTATCAAATGTTTTTTGGCCCCTGCTGCGCGCTGCTTTGCATCCATATTGACATTTTTGTATCCATCACTGATGAGTAGTATCGTCTACCAACCATGCACCCAATGCTGCAGAGGCACCACCCAAATCTGATATATGGTTTCTTCCCTCAAATTGCTTAGAATTTGGTGGAAGCGACAAGATACCCAGCAAATGCATATACATGTAAAATGGTGAAACTGCATCTCTATTTCTCTCTCTTTCTCCTGTGTTCCCCAACCCCTCTTCATTTCCCTCCCTCTTCCTCTGATTCTCTTTCAATCTTCATTCCCAACATTGGGCAGCTCTTGTCCCTTACTCTGAATGGTTATTGACTCATTTAAAAGATTATATCTTATAGTCCCTTAAACCTCTTTACCATTTATATTTATTCATTTGAAAGACATTTTTGAATACCTGCTCTGGGTGTGTAATGGGTGGGTAACGCACTGTGCTAGGCACTGGAGATGCAGAGATGGATAAGATGCAGTCCTTGCTCTCAGGTAGCTCACAGACTAATGGGGGAAGAATAGAATATAAAGACGAAATTACAGTATATTGAAATAAGTATTATCTGTATCTCAGTTTCCTTATCTATCCAATAGGGATTATTGGTACCTACTGCAAGACATTGTGATGATTGAGTTAATATGTATAAAGTGCTCATAATGGTTGCATAGGGTACACTCTATGAGTGTTACTATTATTATGATTATGATTATGATTATGATTATTATTAGTAGTAGTAGTAGTAGTATGATGGAGGTGAGTAAACACAAGATACCATAAGAACACAGAGAGAGGAGGGAAACGTGACCCAGGCTAGAGTAAAAGACATCTGACTTGAGCCCTAAAGGATGAGAACATTCTGCACAGTAGGAACAGCCTGTGTTCAGGTTTGGAAGCAAAAAGACAGCATGACATGATTGAGGAACTGAAAGTAATTTAGTTCAGCAAGAGCTGAGTATGAGGAGGGGAATGGCAAGAGATGAAGCTTGACAGGTCATCGAGTACAAACAAGTTTGGACTTTATCCTTTAGCCACTGGGGAGCCACTGGAATGTTTTACGCAGAGTAGAGACTTGATCAAATCAGTGTTGAAAGATCACCTTAACAACAGCATGGAGAATGAATTGGAGGAAGCAAGATTGGAAATAAGACCGGTTAGGACATTGCTAGATTCCAGGGGAGAGAAGATAACGAAGCACTGGAATGTAGAAGGAGCAGTGGGGATGGAGAGAAGGGTGCTATGGATTTGAAGTGTCGTCAAGAACTGGTGAGACAGTGACGGTAGAAGGTAAGGGAGAGAGGTGTTAAAAACCACTTCTAGGCTTTGGGTCCGGTGCAAGGAAATAGATAGAGGTATCATTCAGTGACCAGAGGGAACCCAGGGAACAACCGTTTGGAGAGAGGTGTAATGGGAGAGATGATGAGTTCTCTTTTAACATGTCAAATGAGAGGTGCCTATGGGACTTCCAAGTGGACCATTTAAATAGGTGATTAATCCAGAAATCCTGAAGCCCAGGAGGAACGTCTATGCTGAAAATACAGATTTGGGAGTGCCAGTGGATGGGTAGGAGATTAATTATGTCATGGAGGTGGATATGTTTAATATTCACATTTGAGAGATGATTAAAAAAAGAATTAAAAAAATTTATTATTTATTTTCTGGGGTGGGGAGGTCATTAGGTCTATTTATTATTATTAAGTTTTATTTTTAATGGAGGCACTGGGGATTGAACCCAGGGCCTCGTGCATGCTAAGCATGCACTCTACCACTTGAGCTATACCTCCCCCTGAGAGAGAGAAATTTTGAAGGAGGTTAAAATGTAACAGCCAGATTATGGTGGCTTGAAAAACTAGTGGGCTGGAGGGTCTTGTAGTGGATAGAGAGAAGGATGTACCCTTGACCCTTAGTGTCTTGAACTTGGTAGGAGTGTTGTGCAGGGGCTCACTGAACACTGCAAAATCCTGAACAGCTCTGAGATTCTAGAGCATTGACTCGGATGCCTGCCTCTTACAGAGCTCTCTACTCTAGAGCAGGGAGCCTTTCCTCTGTCCATCCTAGTGTCCCTAACAGATAGTCTAGGGAATTTCAGGCCTCCCTCCAGGCCTTGGAAAATCCTTTACTCCAGATTCCTGCCACATCACCTGAGAGGCCTAGGGATGGTGGGGCATCTATTAGGAGAGCAGACAGGAAATGTCTGGATGTGTGATCCGTGCTGGAGGCCTTAGGCTAGCCTGTGGAGGGGGATTTGGGAAGGGCTGGGAGGACTGGAACTCTCAGCGAATGGACAGAAGGCTTTGTTGCCTGCCCCAACCTTCCATGGAGTAAACTTTCATGATGGACAGATGACCCAGGGCTAGATCATTACTCTCTATGCCTTTGGAGACTCAAGAGGCCTCTAATAAGTGGGAGTCCGAGGCTGTATCTTAGGGCCTCTTCCTCCTGACCCAGTCTCCTGGAGTTTGGCCCCAGTGTGCAATCCAGGGGCCCCATGGCTCTGTTGCTGGGCAATGTGTTAAACAGGAGGCCTTGGAGTCAGAACCATGCCAGCCAACAGCCTGACCTGGAGTTAACACAGTCACCACAACCGACACTGCCATCACCACTTTCTCGGAAAGCAGCCACCTGTCTGGCCCTTGGCTTTGTCTAACTGCCAATCCAAAGCATGTGCCTACGCAGGAGGCGATGACATTTTGGCTTCACTTTCAAAGTTTTTTTTTTCTTTCGCATGTGTTATTTCTAAAGATAACAAAGGTCAAAAGGCATCCAGCATTTTCTGGTTTCTCATAAGCTTCTGGTCAATATTTAATCTGGTTTATGGATTTTTTTTAGGTCTTCTAGATGCCTTCTTGAGCCTGCTTGTGGCCACCCACAGACACTTGTAAGGAGGAGAGAAGTCGGCCTGGCAGAGACGCTCTGAAATGAGGGATTAGAGGCCAGGAGCCAAAGAGCAAGAGCAACAGCCAGAAGACAAGAGAGCAGGCCCTGAAGACGCGCCCACTGAGAGGTCCGCCATGGCCTCTCTTGGCCTCCAACTCGTAGGCTACATCCTGGGCCTTCTGGGGCTGATGGGCACCCTGGTTGCCATGCTGCTCCCCAGCTGGCGAACAAGTTCTTATGTCGGTGCCAGCATTGTGACCGCCGTCGGCTTCTCCAAGGGCCTCTGGATGGAGTGTGCCACACACAGCACAGGCATCACCCAGTGTGACATCTACAGCACCCTTCTAGGCCTGCCTTCTGACATCCAGGCTGCCCAGGCCATGATGGTGACGTCCAGTGCAATCTCCTCGCTGGCCTGTGTTATCTCTGTGGTGGGCATGAGATGCACCGTCTTCTGCCAGGGCTCGCAAGCCAAAGACAGAGTGGCAGTAGTAGGTGGAGTCTTCTTCATCCTTGGTGGTCTCCTGGGCTTCATCCCTGTTGCCTGGAATCTTCACGGGATCCTGCGGGACTTCTACTCCCCACTGGTGCCCGACAGCATGAAATTTGAGATCGGAGAAGCTCTTTACTTGGGTATCATTTCGTCTGTGTTCTCCCTGGTAGCTGGAATCATCCTCTGCTTCTCCTGCTTATCCCGGGGAAATCGCTCCAACTACTATGATGCCTACCAGGCCCAACCCCTCGCCACTAGGAGCTCTCCCAGGCCGGGTCAACCACCCAAGGTCAAGAGTGAGTTTAACTCCTACAGCCTGACAGGGTATGTGTGAAGAACCAGGGGCCAGAGCTGGGGGGTGGCTGGGTCTGTGAAAACCAGTGGACGCCCCCCACCCCCCAGGGCCACAGGTGAGGGACATTGCCACTGGACCATGTCAGAAGGTTCTGCTGAGGATACACTGACTTTGACCACTGGATCAAGCAGAGGCAGAAACGGGAGCTGGTGTGAGAGCATGCAGGTTGAACTGACCAGATGCTGGCCAAGCCAGAATTTCTGTTTCTTTCACCTTGGCTTCCCATCCCCCACCCTGAATCCCCAGCCCTCAACTCTGAACTCACCCTTCTACCCTGGGCTAGGTCCTTCTGTCCTGTGGTTTACCTGGGAATCCATCCAGAATCCACTAATCACATCCGACTGACCGACCCTCTCTGTGATCTAAGACCCTCCCTCTTGCTGAGGTTGGCTCTTAGCTCATTGCTGGGGGATGGGGGTGGGTGGGTAGGAGGGTGGCTTCTATGGGGATGGCTCTGACCTCCTTCTCAAGCCTCCCTCCAAAGAAACTGACTGGCCAGTAACAGGCCCTGGAGCCTCCATCCCATTCTTGTTTATGACTCCACAGTGTCTAGACTGGTTTGTGTATGAACTGAAATAAAGCCATCCCACAGTACCGAGGGAACAGAGAGTAACTAGGTGTAAGATGGGAGGGAGAGGCGGCAGCCAAGGACCAAAAAAAGACCAGAATCACTGCCCAGAGAAAAGTAAAGAAAATATGGTGGAGCGTTCAAGGAGGCCGTAGACTGATCCTTCCAAGGAACTCCCTCAGAAGCTACAGCTCCAACTTTCACTGAAGCCCCTGCCTCCCTCTGACCTGGCGTCCTGCCAAACAACAAGGCTAAGGGGCCTATGTAATGGTTTGTTTAGGAACAGGAAACTTGCTTTTCCAGAGATGGCTGTGGGCTGGGGGATGACAGCATGGGAGCTGTTGGGGACTGAGGAAGATATCACCCCTCGATGCTGCCTCGGAAAGAATAAGAACTTGAGTATCTGAGAAGCCGGGTGAACATGTGTGGAAACTCCAGTGGGGAGGGGTTCTATTGGGCCCGAGAGAGGCTGCCTCCAGAGACTCTTCAAGCCTAATGGAAAATCAGGCCAAAGGCTGAGATCGGGCCCCCGGGGTCTTCCCACAGAGCGCTACAGAGCCTCTGAAAGACCACAGCTCCAGATGGGCCCCCATCAGTCCTCTTCCTTATCTCCCCACCATCCTTCACCCTGCATTGCAGAGTGGCCAGCGGGCATCCAAGGGCTCCAGTGTGGAGTCATCCTGCCCAAGGTGCCTTGGCCCACATCTGAGTGAGAGCTGAGCTGCTGCCTGGGATTTCTGTTGCGATGGAAGAGCAGAGAATGATTTCCAGGCAGACAGTTCCAGCTCCAAGGTCTGACAATGCACCACTTCCCCTGGAACAGGGGTAGGGGTGAGAGTCACAAACAAACCAAAGGCATTTTCCTTCAGTGGCTTGAACATGACCAGCTTCTGACAAACTCCAGTACACCTCCCCCAACCTCATGCCAGCAGGAGGGGCCCATCCATCATCTGTAATGGGCTTTTCACATTGCTACCTTCTTGCCTATATTTAAGCTGCTCTCTGACGCGGGAAGGCCCTCTCCCCTTAGCCAAGTCTTCCTAGGGCTCGGAGAATTTGCTCAGCGCCACCTCCTTCACTGAGCCTCATCTGACCACTCCGTCCCTCTCCTACCCTTCCGTCCTCCAACCCTCAATGTCAAAATCACTCTTTGATGCTTATCGTTCACAATTTTTGATGGATAGTTATCTTTCCAAGTGTATGTATCTGATTTCACGAGTACGTTGTAAACTCTTGGAGGGTAGGGGCCGTATCTTAGAACTGTCTGTATCTCCCAGACTATCTATAAGAGTACTGGGCACACAGTAGGTGATCAATAAACACTTGTTGATTGCATAAATGCTTTACTAATTAAATTTAATTCAGACTGGGTAGGTATGATGGAGGGAATTGGGCTAAAAGGAGAGTAGAATGGAAATTGGCCTTTTTACCCACTGGGTGGATAGAAAATTCTAGACTTTACTGGAGACATTAAGAAAACAGGATCCCCCCGCCCCGTAGAGAAACAACCATTTCATTGTGTCCAGGGATCCTCCCTTTTCACAAGAGTTGTTTCATTTAAGTTATTTGCTAAATGGCTATGGGTTACACCATCCATCTCTGAACCACCATTATGAGGAGGGTGAAATAGATCTGATCATCTCCATTTGGCACACTGGGAAACTAAGGCCCACATCAGTAAAGAGATTTTGCCAGGGCCACACTGCTGGTGTTAGTGCCCCAGTCTCCTGATTCCCAAAATAGCACTGGGCCAATCTAACAACATTCACCGCCTGTAGGAAGAACCCGCCAGAGGTCCCCACATTGTCTGAAAACAACAATCTGTGGCCACGAAGGTAACATCGGGGACACATAGGCTCTCTTGGTCTCCTGTGAGGGGGATCTGGGAGAGTAGGTCCAATTCACTGCTTGGAACTGCCCCTCCTGCTGTGCTGGCCAGCTGGCCAGCTTGGGCCCAGCTAGCTGTCCCATCAGGGGAATGCCAAGCTTACATTTGAATAAGACATGACACCTCAGTTCCAATTCCTCTACTTCTGGACATGTGGGAGTTTGAGAGGCCAATGATTTGGCCCGGTTCCAACCTCACTGGGAATTAACAAAGGCTGATTCATAAAGATGTTAACGGTGGCAACATCAACAGTAATGGGCCCTATGAGATTCAGCCTCCTCAGTCTCCGGACCCAGTGGGCCTCAGCACACAAGAGCCAGCTATAAGAGGCATGACCCACGCAGTCTCAGGGTGGGCCTTCTTTGTTGCAGAGGCTAGGGCTCTGGCATCCAAGACTGTTTAGATGGAATAGTGGCAGGCAGGAATAAGAATGGAGAGAGGGTGCTCTCTGAACAGAAGTGTAATAAGAGGTCATATCTCAGGTCTGACACCAGGAATCCCAGAGCCCTCCACTGGCGGGTCCTGGAAGTTGGACAGTGGATTGGCCATGCTGACTCTGCTATGCTGGGTGGGCAGCAGTCTGGTACAGGCTCTGATGGCCCACCATCTGGAAGCCAAAGTTTCCAATCCACAGTATCCTTGAGTCCTCCAAATACCCCCAATAAAGCAGGTGTTTTACAGGAGACAAAATGGAGGCCCAGAGAGGTGAGTAAATTCCCTAAAATCACAGAGTGTCCGAGTCTGAGCATGAGCTTGGAACCTATTCCCACAGCAGCGTGGGTCTGGGATTCTGTCTCAGGAGGGGCCTGTTGCCCTTTGCATTCTTGCCCCACTCCTGTCTCTGTCTGTTCCTGAATATGAGGGCTTTTGAGGAAAATAAGGCACTGAGCTTCCCTTCATCTTAGGCTGAGGCTGGCCTGAGATGTCCTCCTTCCTTTTAATCTAGGAAGATTTTTTGGAAGGAGTTAGATGTCCATCCTCAACAAAAAAACTAGGGCAGACCCAATAAAGAGCAACTCTTCCCTCTGGCTCATTGAGCAAGAGATGTCTTGCTCTAAACAGTTTCCCAGAACTCTCCCAGAGTCTGGGTCCAAGCTGAATGCTTTCCGCTCACTGAACTGCCTTCCATCATAAAGTAATTAAGATTAGCCATAGACTTAGGGGGTTGTGAAGGCTGTTGGGTTCATTCCCTAGCCTCCAGGTTCCCACCCTTGCACAAGGAGAGATGTTTCTGCCCTCCCTCATTCCTCTGATAATGGCGTGACTCATGTTTTCTCCTCCTGGGGGCCCTAGTGACCCACTGCTATGGGATCATCAGTTGAGAGGAGGAGGCTGAAACCGGCTTCTTGGTGGAAAGACAAGCTCTGACTTTCTGTGAGACCTTCATCCAGTCAGTCAAATGGTCACTCAGCCAGTTCTGTCACCAGCCAGCTAGCCTGCTGGCCCGCACTGATTGCAGTCTCATCTGATGGCAGGCAATGTGCTGAAGGCTTTGAGGGCAACAAGTGTGAACTAAGTAAAGTCTGTGCCTCATAGGAGGTGACAATTGATCTAAGGGAGATAAAACATGCACACCAACCAGTGGGACAAGGCACAATATGGCCTGTCCTGTGAGAGATAAGGAAAAAGGGCCATAAGACAGGGGTGTGTCTGGGGCTCATTAGAAAAGCTCTGTAAATCCCCTCAAATCCCAACCCCTCTGAAATGAGGGTCTGGCACTACTTGAACTTCTGGGGGAGGATGATCAAAGGGGACTGCTTCCTCCAGCTGAAGAACTATGGGAAATAGAGAACTAGGGGAGAGGGCTGTGCTCAGGAGGAAACAGGGACCCGCCGCACAGCCAGCGGAGCAGCTCTCTGAGTCTTCCTCACAGGACCTCTAAGTGGCAGTGATGGCCAGAGGGACCCTGGGGCTCAGCCTCTCCTCCCTTATCTCCTTCTCCCAGGAAGGTCTCCAGAAGCTGCTGGGGGCAGCAGAGGGAGGGCCCATCCAGGTAACCTGAGGTCTTTTGGCTCTGGACCAGAGGAGAAACACAGGAGCTGGAGGAGGGAGCAAGGAGAGAGGAAGCCAAATGAGGTCTCGCAGGGTCAACGGTTCTCTCCCATTCAGCCCCAGGCTCATGGACAGGGGGTCCATTCGTGCCTGCAGCTGCCCACTCCGGGACACGGAAGCCCGGGGCGGGGAAGTGCACGCGCTCCTCCTCAGCCCGCTGAGGCCCGGCCTTCGCCTTACCGGATCTTGCTGTTGTCCCAGTGAGCGGCTCCCAGCTTTGATGAGAAATTCTGTTATCTTGACTGGAGGGGTGGCGGGGGGAGCACTTCAAACAGGAAGTCCAGCAGGTTATCACTCTCTTTTGCCCTAAATGGTGGCTCCCTACGTGCTATGATGTGATCACTGATAAAATATTAACAGGCTGTTATCAGGCACAGCAATACAGCAGCTGTAATCTGACCATGACCACCCCCTCCACCTCACACAACCCACCACTTTCCTGACACTTGCGGCTCAAGGATTCCTAGTTAAAACTTACCTACATTTCCTTGCTCTAGGCCTCATTTTTCGACAAGACATACAGGGGTGTCTTAGGGCTTGACAAAGGGGGCAGTCACCACACAAGAGCAAATCATCAGATCCTGCTTTCCTCTCATCCCTAAAATCCCATTGCTCCAGAATGCCCCCTTCCCGCACCACTCCACAAGGAGCTTTCCGGGAGGGCTTTGAACAACTTTCTATTTGCAAACACGACCTCGTGGAGAAAACACTGAGGAAATTCACCTGCTTTCAAACAGATATTAGGGAGGAAAATGGGATGGGAAATTAGACGCTAAATGAGTATGAGTAGGGTGACAGGCAACCCAGTGTTTCAGTAGTAACTCTTTTTCTCCAGTAACCCTTTCAAAGTCTGTGATATTTAACAAAGTTCTGTGTGGGTTGCTCAGGAGAAAGGCCAGTCACACCACAAGCACAAAGAGAAGATGCTCCTTGCAGCCTCTTGACTTGGACTCATTTCTAGAATTTCCCAGTGGGATGCAAGGGGTGGATCAGCATCCCCACAGAGGATACCTGATGATATTGTAAAGACCCTACTCTCTTGGTTCAAAGGCACTGAATGCCTTGATTAAAAAGTAAGTATGCTTTCTGGGAAGAAAAATACATTCAGCCACAGATTAACCATTAACACCAGAATTTGTGCTAGTTTCTCAATTTAGCCCTTAAAGGAGCCAGAATGAGAAGATGAGTCCAGTGAGCTTTTAAAAGAGAACACTAATTCAGAGACACTGGATGCTGGAATTTGGGGGACCAGGGGACTTCTCTGAGTAACACATGTACCCTTCAACTAAATGATTCAACAGCTTCAAAAATGGACATGAGGTAGAAATCAAGGAAAAAGCAGACAAGATGAGAAAGGTGGTGTCATCTTTCCCTTGGCAATTCCAAAGGCACCTCATGTGGTTAATTTTACTCTTCTGTGTGTAATAATAAACCAATATGTTCTCAAGTGTCACTTTCTCACTCCCCAAGAGACTTGCCCAACTCAGCACTGTCAGAGGGGGTGGTGCAAGGGAGCCAGTGAGAACACTCAAAGGCAGAGGCCAACAAGTCCAAGACCTCCTGGAGTGTAAGAATAGGATCTTGATGGCTGTTTTGGTATCAGGAAAGCTGCCAAGCGACAGCCCTGAGTGAAAAACCCAGTCAAGAGGAAATGAATTTCCACGTTGTTTGGAGGGATATTCGTTACATAAGTGAACGATTTCCTGATCACGAGGGCAGTTAAACATTGTGTGGGATAGTGGAACTTTCTTCCTTGGAAATTCCTATTCGTGTGGGCTGGCTGTAACATTTTCTTGTCAAGAAGAAGAAGACAAGACTGATCATTTTCAACATAGCATGGTTTAGAAGGGAAAGAGCCTGGACTTTGGAGTCAAACCTGGGTTTGGTTTGGCTTCTGTGCTTTCCAGATGTGTAGTCTTGGGAGAGACTCTTCAATTCTTTACACTTTAGTTTCTGCGTCTGTAAAATGGGAATGATGCCTGCCTCTCAGTGTGTAGGTCCTCAACAAATGGTTAACTGTATCCTAAGCATGTTGGTGACCTAGAAAGTAGTGCCAAAGTCACACTAAAATGTGTATGTCTTTGGGAAAAGGAGACAGATGATAAAGTATATTTTCTACCACAGATTGGAATCTACATTAGCAAGGGGATATTTTTCCCAGGCCAAATCTTCTCAAGATCCTCCCCAGAAGTCTGAATGAATAACTTGAAGATCTTGAATAGGCTTCTGCTCATCAAATTCCATTAGCAGAAGCCAGAGGAAAAGACTTGAGAAGTTGGAGAAGAGAGTGGTAATGATGGCTCTTTGACCTTCACGCACATTTGTGAAAATCTGAGGTGGGACAGAACCATGATCTATCAGGTCCTACTTCTAAGGAAAAGCTTAGTCCACGGGAACTGCAAACTGGGGATAATTTCCCAAACTCATAGACAGTTAGGGAGATTTCAACAGCCACTTTCTGAATTCATATCCTACGAAGGCTCTACTGTTAAACAGATTTGGCATAGCCCCCCACTTGCAGGCATTCCAAACCCTTGGTTCATTCTCTTCCTTATGCTCCAAATTGAATACTTCACTATTCTTCAAACCCTCTTGGATGTTCCCTGATTCATCCTCGACCCAGTCTTGTGACTTTTCTTATACTATTCCCTTGAGCCTTTGCTTAAAGGCATCTTGCCTGGACCTGAGGATGCAATGGTGTATGGAATGTGCTTGGCACACAGAAGGTACCCAAAACATTTGCAATATTATCTAGAAGTGTGTTTGGGATCTCTGGTGATTCACGTAAAAACTTTGGGTTTAGGTGTAGAGGCAAGTAATGAAACACATTTCTTCTGCAGATTTTATTTTCCATTAGAAAATGAATGCTATTTATGTCTCACTTAATAAATAAAGCTTTAACATACCCAAGACTAAGTCAGTTCTTTCCAGTTTTGTAGTTTATTATCTAACCACATTTCTGACTTTTGATTCATTAAGTATGGTTCATGAATTTCCTCTCTGCTTAAGGTAAGTTATGAGTTAGGGATGTACTTGTCACCAAGCACAAGTTATTTGTCTGAGGAGATTACACTTGACTTAGCATAGCTCACCCCTAGCTTTCCTAAGCATACCCCTTGCTTCAGTCCTAACACAGTACTACAGAAAGAGGTTTTACTTCATAGTACAGAACTCTGAAACGTGTTCTATCTGGAGATTACCCTTAGGAACTGAGAGCCTCTCAATTAAGTCTCTACATTGTTACCCTAGATTATTTGCAATCGCTGGTCTTGGGCAAGCAAATCTTCTTGTCCCCTGCAGCCACAAAGTCTCTGACCCAGTCCTCTTCTAGCTGCCCATTTGTTCATCCAACAAGCATGTACATACAGTTGCCCTTTTGCTACTGTGTGGGACTGGTTCCAGGACCTCATCGGATACCAAAATCCAAGGCTGCTCTAGTCCCTTAACAAAATGATGTTCGATTTGTATACAACCTATACACATCCTTCCCTATACTTTAAATCATCTCTAGCTACTTATAATACCTGATAAAATGTAAATGTTATGTAAATAGTTGTAAACACAATGTAAATGATATGTAAATAGTGCCCACAGGTAGCAATTTCAAGTTTTGCTTTTTTGTAAATTTCTGGATTTAAAAAAATATATATTTAAAATCTGTGGTTAGTTGAATTAGTGGATGCAGAGCTCAAGAATTTGGTGGTGGGCTAACCCTACTGACTTCTTAATACGTGCGGGGAACTTAAGAGGTATACCTCAGATATATTGCAGGTTTGGTTCCAGACCATTGCAATAAAGTGAACATCTCAATAAAGCAGGTCACACGAATTTTTTTGTTTCCGAGGGCATATAAAAATTATGTTTACACTATATTGTAGTCTGTTAAGTGTGCATTAGCATTATGTCTAACAAAACAATGCACATGCATACCTTAATTAAAAACACAATTAAAATACTTTATTGCTAAAAAATGCTAACCATCATCTGAGCCTTCAGTGAGTAACATAAAAGGTCATTGATCACAGATCATCATAACAAATATAATGATAGTGAAAAAGATTGAAATATCCCAAGAATTACCAAAGTGTTGACAGAGAGATGACATGAGCAAATGCTGCTGGAAAAATGGCACCAATTAGACTTTCTCCACACAGGGTTGGCACAAAAACAAAAACAAAAACAAAAATGCAGTACCTGTGAAGCGCAGTAAAACAAGGTATGACTGTATTTTCTTGAGGCATGTTCTGTCTATTCTGTGAAAGAGGATAGCTCCTCTTTCTTCTCTGGAAATAAACTATCACTGCTCTTGGAAAAAGTGAGCAGAAGATTTCTCAGAGAGAAATGGCTGCCAGGGAAGGCCTGTCTGAGAAAGCTGACACTTAGACGAAGACCTGAAGGACGAGCAATAGCCCGCTATACCAAGACTGGAGATGTGAGCATTCCAAGTGACGAAACAGCACGGATAAAGGCTCTACATTAAGTAAGAGCCTGAAATATTTCAGTGGGAAGACCACAGTGAGCAAGGGGAAAAGTGAGGTATGATGAAGAGTTGCAAGAGATAGAGCAGAAGAAGCAGGCAGGGGTCTTGTAGGACTTTGTAAGGAGTATAGATTTTATTCTAAGCGCAATAAGTCATTGCAGGAGTTTAAGCAGGGAGTCATGTGATCTTTTTTTTTAATCACTCTGGTTGTAGTAAGACAATTGTGGGAACAAGAGTGGAAGCAAGGAACCATTTAGGACTTGCAATTATTTGTGGGAGGTGATGATAGTTTGTATTAAGATAGATGTGGTAAAAATGAGTAGAGTCAAACTATACTTCGAAGACAGAATTGACAGACTTTCTGGCAGGCTGGATGTGTGGGGCTAGAGGAGAGGAGGATCTAGGATGACTTCCAGGTTTACAGCTTAAGCAACTGGGTGGGTGGAGGTGCCATTTTCTGAAATGAGGAAAGTTGGAGGAAGGAACAGTCCCACGGTGTGTATGTATCACTGTTTAACATGATTTATTTGAAATGCCTGTGAGACATGGAAGTGTAAATGTCAAGTAGGTGGTTGAATATTTGAATGTGGAGCTAATAGGGAACACAGAACAAGGAAATTTGTGATAAGAGCCTTATAAGTGACAAAAAACTTGTATGTTCAAAGAAAACGTCATGTTTGGCTAGGTTAATCAGAGGGGTTTCCAAGAAAAAAGGTGATATTTGAGCCAAAGGAAAGATGATGAAGGAAGACATTCCAGGCAAAGAGAATGAAGTGGCAAAGGTGGAAAAGGAGAAAATCTCAAGACAGGTTCAGAAACTGAAAAGTAGTTCAGTTTGGATGGAACATGCTTTGTGTTTGGAATGCTGGAAGAGTCTGGAGTGCGTGGTTGAAGCCAGATGGGAAGTTGTATTGCACTCAGTGGGCAACTGGGAACACTGGCAAGTCTTTGAGCAGAGGCCTAATCTGGTGAGGTCATTAAAAGCGATTCAGTGACAGTGAGTAGAGTTGGCTGAACGAGTGAGAATAGGAGACAAGGGAAGCCAGTTAAGAATCTGTTTTAATTAGGGAGGCATGAAGTTGTAAGGACCTAAATGTTGACTGTGGAAACTAAAAGTTAAAGGGCAAATGGGAGAGACACTTGAAAAGAGGATTATGACTATGTTCCCCTAACAGGATAGCCAGGAGACGCCCACTTTCTTCTTCTCAATGTCTTTTGCCTCCACACTATATCATAAGCTCTAGTAGGGCTGGGTGACTCTCTCCAATCTCTCCTCTGTGGCATTTAACTTTGGGTAAAGGGACCGCATGCTGGTATGGTTTCACTGTAAACAGGGAACAGAGGGGTAGCTCTGGTATTGTAGTGAATGGACGCAACAGATAACTGTGGCTGGAAGAAGCAGTTTGGGGTTGAGACCACAGAGAGTAAGTACTGGTAAGGATGAATTAATTTTTTTACACCTTTCTCATTTTAAAGCTCAATTGCCTGTACTCCTTCCTACTCTGCCCCTACACTGACCACACACACACACACACACACACACATACACACTCCCCTTTCTCTCAGGCTGAATCTTCAAGGCTCTGAATTTTTCCCTATACCATCCTCCCTTCCAATATTGTCCCTGTCAGTGCAAAGTCCTGCCCTTTCACGGCCCCCATCTGAAGAAGAAGTATCCCTGAGAGAATGGCTGAATGTGCTCCCACCCATCCTTCAATAAATTTATATTTAGACAACCGAGGTCTTCCATATCATGGTCTAAATGCTGGACGTGAGAATCAATCACGTGTCAGGGAAGAGCTGCAGTGATGTGAGAAAAGGGGGCCAGGGACAGCTTTAAGCACTCATGCTAGTGGTAAATCATGGCTCTGGCCTCCCCCTATTCCTTGCAATCCCACTGGGAAAATCGACGATGGGCTTCCTTTCAATATAGTTAAAACACGTTTGGGAGAGTCTTCTGAAGTAACTACGCAGAGGAGAAACAGAATGAATGCCCAAAACATTCCTCCAGACGAGTTAACTCTTTTCAGATTGCTTGATCCCACCTCCCTTTTACAGATTCTCCATTACTTCCTATTTTTCACTGTTGGTATATTTTATGTATTTATTATTCAGTATCTTTTGAAGAGTACCTTGAACTGTTTGGAGAGTATACACTATGTAAATATATAGTAATAAATAAATATAATAAAGAAATGAATAAACAAAATGTCTACTTTTACAAGAAGGTTTTACCACTTTTGATATGAGAGCCACCCCTCACTCAGCACCAGCCTGAAGAGTAGGTAAGTGTATTCTGAGGGACAGCAAAGAGATCTCGCTGCTCTAAAATACCTCCCCCACAACCTGAAGTCCCACAGTTTGCTGATACACAGTTTAAAAATTTAAGCCTTGAAGATTTCTTTTTCAAGAATTCCTTATTAAAATGCAAATACCACAGAGGGGGGTAGGTAAATGGGTCATGATTTAACCTTAGTTCCCTTTACATTAACCCATCACTCCTACCAAACACATTTTTTACATTCCAGCCTTTTCTGTGCTTTTGTTCATGCTATGCTTCCAGAAGTGATGCTAAATATGACATAAATTACAAATTAAAATTTACCTTATGTTTTCACAGTCTCTCATGTGATATCTAAATCCAAGCCTACTCATTCTTTTTTAAAACGATTTATTTTTTCCAATGTAAGAAGAATAACAGGTTTATTATAGAAAATTTGAAAAAAGCAGGAAGATAGGGAGAAGAAAAACTATCAACCACAGTCCTACCACGTGAAGAACAACAGTCGTTAACAGTGTTGTCGTGCCGCTCTTTAAACCAACCTCAGTTTAGGTCCCATTTCTGATGTGATGCCTTCCTCCCCCAGAACTTCTCTATCATGTTTGTGCCACTTGCTTGTACAAGTCAATTAACTTGGTGTGTATCTTGTGTTTCCAACTAGATTGTGAGATCCTTGAAGGCTGAAACCATGAGTTATGCTTCTTAACTTATCCCCAAACACTTGGTACATTGGACCCAATATTTGCTGACTGATTTAACCTAAATGAATACAAATCATTTCAGAAACAATACGAAATAGGCCAAGTATCTGAGTCATGAAAGTTAAAGCTTTCCAGTCACCTGGTTTGGTGACTATTACTCTTCTGTTCCTGGGATTCTTAAAAGCCTATTTAACTAGACTCTTTCTCCACACCAAGACTGAATGAGAAGCAGACTGATTAAGAGCCAGGATTTACTCAAAGATTCTCGATGTAAGGCATAAAGGTGAGAGAGAAAGAAAGAGAGAGAGAGGGAGGGAGGGAAGAGGGAGAGAGAGAGAAAAGAGAGAGAGGTGTGGGAGGGAGGGAGGAAAGGAGAGGGAAGAGAAGGGTAGAAAAGGGGATATAAAGTATCTGGTGCTCAATCCAGTATGTGATTTGCCTCCAGCACCGTATACAGGATCCCATCCACTTGTTCTGAGTCAAACCCGATCTCACGAAGCTCCAAGTGAGGGAGGACAGAAGTAAGGAGATAGCTGACGTGGGTACGCAGCCGCGTAAGCTTTGCCAAAGCCCTGTATGATGGAGTGAGGGACAGGAGAAGAGATGACATGAAGTCGTTAGCCAACAGAACAAAATGAAGCTCCTTCAACATGGGCCTACATCTCTCAACAATTACATTTCCATTAGCTAGAAAGAAAGAAGGAAGCACAATGCCACCAAGCACAGGGAGACTGGCTGCAGCTCTCTAAGAAGTGATTCCTCAATCCTTGGTGGCCTAGGAATTAATTAAGGCTTCTTCCCTTATCTGCGACCAGTAACGAGGGGTCCTAAGGGATGCTTCCCATTAGCACTCTCAAGCTGATAACTAAACCCTAGTAATTAACCTTTCTAGGTCATCTCCCTCTGGGGTCCGGTAGGAGACCTGAGCCTTCTGCAGCACTTCCAGGTGTGTCTCCGTCTCTTTCAGTTTCTCTTTTAGTTCCTGCTTTTCCTCTTTGGTTCTTTCCAGCTCAGCTTTCAGAATCTGGAATTCAGCTTGGCGATAGCCCATGTGTTTCTTGCTCCAATACAAGCCTTCCGTCTCCTGGGCGCTATAAGTCACCAATTCATGTTGGACTTTCTTGAATTCAGAATGCCAGTGATTCCTCTCCTGTTCCAGCTCCTCCACCTGCAGTCCAAGAAACAGAAATTCAATGACCCCACATACTACTGAAAGCTAAAGAGAGTGCCCCCAAATTTCCCGACTATTCACCCTGGAATTCCTCTACAGATATTCTTCTCCCTATGGGCCTTTTCATCCCAAAATATGGGAAGGAAGAACATTAGGGTTCACTTAGTCTGAGACATACCACAGAATCACTCAATGGCTTATTTTGTTTAAGGCCTCAGAACATGAGATCATCGGAATTCCAGCTCTCTGGTCCCTCAGTTACAATGACCTTGTATTCCTGGTGGTAAGGTGTTGCCCCTAACCTTTTGCTGGAACATATTCCTTTCTGCCAAAACACGTTCCAACTTTTCTGTGGTTCTCTTCAGTTCTTCTAGCTCTCTTTGGTTCTTCATCTTTGGCGTATTACGACCCCCGCTCTCCTCGTAGCCTCTTCCTTTCTCCACAACGGCTGCAGCAGGGGTGGCAGCAGAGGCCACAGAAGAATAAGGCACCGGGTTCCAGGATTCAACTGCTTTTCTCCTCTCAGCAAGCTCCTCTCTGTTAAAAGGGATCAGCTGAATGGGAGCTCCTGAATCTCTAACACCTTTTGCAACACCGACAACAGCTACAAAAGGTCCCTTGTTTACTTCTTCCTTGTTTATGTGTGTGCTGCCCCTGTTAGATTCTTCTGCTACCAATCTTGGCATCTGATCTTCTAATTCTTCAGAGAGAAGGGCCCCCTGCTGTTGGTCTTGTGCCCCTGAATACAGACCTGAAACCTCCCTACTCTGACCGGTGTTCTTGATTGCTTCGGGGTATTCCGGGGAAAGGTACGGTGGTGTGCTTCTCTCAGAACTGGATTTCTCGTGGCTGTTCTCCCCTTCTGGGTAGGCAACTGCTGCCTCTACCCTCCTGTAAGGGCCAGGCATGGAATAATCCAGAGGAGGTGTTGTCATATCATTCTGGAGCCTTCTTCGTTTCTCCATAGGTTCCTCACCTAGGATCCATTTGTACTTACTGCAAGAAGAGGAAATTCAATTTTAAGCTGTCACAATACAAGCGAAGTATCTTCCTTATCCTATGGAACCCCGTCCTCAAATTTCCCATGTTAAAACTGACTCTAGCTGTTATTCACAGGGCATTTCAGGTTAGGACTACATCTTTACTCTCAAACCACAACCCGTTCACTCATGCAATTTGCTGACATAGCAATAGGCCTTAACGGAGAGATGAAATCAAAAGGCATGAAGACACGGTATCTGGATAAAACAGGACCAGGCTGACCTTGCTAAGACTTCTGAAAATAGGATGGAAACTAGACTGACTTAAAAGTTTCCAAAAGACAAGTAGAGGGAGGAAAAACAAACAAACAAAAAAACCACATGCAAAATCCCCTAACACAAGAATGGAAAAAAAGGTCATAAAAAGCCTATTGGAATATGTAGAGGAGACTGAGCCAGCTCGTTAACTTTAAAGTGTCACAAAAACCTTCCAGGATCAAAGACTTAACACACATTTTTATATTCCAATGGAACACTACACAATGCCTTTGCCAGCCAACTGGATTGGGGCTACTGCCCATTATCCACTTGTAAAAGTTAATTAAAACACAAGGCTCTAGTCAGAAACAAAGAAACTGAATTGGCCAATTCAAGTCATTTCTCACTTTTCACAAAAGAATTCCTCTCTGTTGGGGCAAACAGGCACTCCCTCAGTTCTTCAGGAAAGGCCAGGATAGTGACCTCAAATCACCTTCCATTTCTGGCTGCTATATACACTAACGGTTGAAGGAACATACAAAAAAAAAAACGATGCCAGTGAAATCCATAGGCAATTATATATATCATGCAGCAGGATGGGACCCCCATTTTTATCCTTATAACTATTCTGCTCTCTCTCCAGAAAACCAGGAAATTTCAAGGTAAAAATTAACTTTCAAATTTTCAATGAGAAAGAACCAGGCATGTTATTTGCCACCGTATCTCAAGGATGCCCACATTTCTCTGCAATTTCTGAGAGTATCTGTTAAGACATCACAAACCTTAGCTTCTTATAACGCCTTAATGTTCTCCAAAACTAGTGTTCACCCTGAAATAAAATTGGTCTGCTATCTTAATAGATCTTGTAGTGTCAGCCTCAGGGGCAAAGCAAAAGGACTTAGGGGCTATGTAAGAACAAATGTATCCATCTTTAAACATGCATAAGGGCCACTGTAGATGGTCCATTTAGCTGTGGAACTGAGGCAAATAGTAAAACAGTTTGCTGGTATGAAGGAATAGTATATGCTACCAGATAGAAACAACAAAGTTTTATGAAAAGCCATTAAGGTCACATTATCTGCCTTCTCTTCAATTTCCCACCGCTAAGGGAAGCATTAAGGTCCTTAATTCTCTTCTCTCCGTACATTTTTTTTCCTTTGGTAATGTCATACAACCTTTTGGCTCGAACTTCTGGGAAATAACCCCCAAGTCATTCCCCCAGCCCTGATCTCCAGCACTGAATTTCCAACTGCCCATCACATATTTCTTTCTGGAGGTCCCACTGGCATCTCACTCAGTATGTATAAAACTGACCTTTCACTTTTACCTTCAAATATGCTCCTTCTCCTATGTTTCCTATTTGTGTTCGATACCACCAAACTCTCAGTAATTTTATGTAGTTTTACCATTATCAATACTCAAAAGTTCAAGCTCTCATGACCTCTCCTGGACTATTGAAATGGCTACCTCCAGTATCCCCGTGTCACACCTCCAGATCACCCACTGCCACTTTAATCTTCCTATGGCATTGCTCTGATTATGTCACCTCCCTACTTGAAATCTTTAGGTATTGTTCCCCACAACATAAAAGCTTTAATGTCTTAGCTTGGTATTTAAGCTTTTCCATTCCAAAACATAGGAAACAATTGCTGAACACTTACTCTGTGCCAGCCAGTGTGAAAAGTCGTAATGTGTATGGTCTGACCCAAATCTCCCAGTTAAACCTGAGGTAGGTGGTATTCTTAACTTCACTTTTAAAAGGATGCTCAGGCCTAGAGAAGTTAAATAACTAGTGAAGATCATGTAGCTAGTAAGTGGCAGAGCTGGGATATAATTTGGCCCTAGCTTTTTCTCTCACTATTTCCCTTCAAAAACACCAGCCAAACAGAATGCCCCATGATTTCCCATGCTGCTTCTTTTGATTGGAATGCACTTCTCCTCAACACTGCATGTCTAAGTCCAGTTCAAATACAACCTCTGAATTCCTATAGCAATTTAGTAATCTCTATATAACATACATTACTTTCTACTGTGTGTGTGTATTGTAGGTTCGCCACTTAAGTATAAGCTCCTTGACAGAAGGGAGCTTAACTGTGCTACTTGGGGATGAGGGAACAAAATTTTGTACATAAGAGGTGATCAAAAATGAATTATTATGTTTTTGTTTGTTTTGGTTTGTTTTTTTGCAGCCCACAATAAGTTTATTGTGTCTTCAAGACACTACAGTGTAGAGTCCTCTCCCAGAGAAGGGTCTTTCAGAGACAAGGAACCATTATCCAGACGAGTAGCTCATTTGTTATTTTCATAGGCAGCTGGATTCTTCCTTTTGGATCTCTCAAATTCTTAGAACTATTATGTCAATGAAAGGCAATGAGTGGATTTTACTTATTGGTTCTATAAATACTTCTGGTTCTTCCCTTTAGGAATCAATTTACTGCAGATCTGTATTCATTTAGTAAAGATTAATTTAGGGTTTACATATTAGTAATTCTTTTCCAGCTATATAATCTCTTCTCATTTTCTTTTTCCTTTTTGTCATATTCCTCCATTGGCTGTCTGCAGAGAAGCCAGCTGATATTTTGACAGGGATTCATTTATTATTTTGGAGTGTATTATTTAATTTCCACATATTTGTGAATTTCCCAAATTTCCTTCTGTTGTTGATTTCTAATTTAACTCCACTGTGGTTGAAGAACATCCTTTGTATGAGGTCAATCCTTTTAAATTTCTTAAGGCTTGTTTTATGGCATAATATATGGCCTACCCTGGAAAATATTCCATGTGCTCTTGAGAAGAAAATGTGTTATGCTGTTTGGGGGCAAAATGCTCTGTACATATGTGTCAGGTCCAGTTGGTTTATAGAATTCTTCAACTCTTCTATTTCGTTGTTGATCTTGTACCCATTATTGAAAGTGGTAAAGTTAAGTCTCCGACTATTATTATTAAATTGTCTATTTCTCCCTTCAATTCTGTCTGCTTTTGGTTCATTCATTTTGGGGCCTCTGTTGTTATGTCCATATATGGGTATAATTTTTATATTTTCCTGATGGACTTTATCAATATAAAATATTCCTCTTTATATCTAGTAACATTTTCTGTTTAAAGTCAATTTTGCCTGATGTTAGTATAGCCACGGTAGCTCTCTTATGGTTGCTGCTTGTATGGTATGTCTTTCTTCAACTTTTTATTTTCAACCATTTTTATCTCTGAATCTAAAGCATATAGGTAGTATAGTTGGATTTTAAAAATCCAATCTGATAATCTCCAACTGGAGATGAATTGTTTAATCTTTCTGTTTTCTGTATGTGTCATACCTTCTTTGTTCCTTTCTTCCTCTACTGTTCCTCTTTCCATGTTATGTGGGTATTTTCTAGTTGAACATTTACAAATCTAACAAAACATTACTACAATCATTACTTATGTAATGTTATATCTTTTGAGGAAGTGGAAGAAGAAAGTAGAACAAGTACATCTTTATATTTATAGAGTTTGCTAAATCAATCTTCTTATTTTTCCATTTTTTTATTTTCTTCATTTCTTACTATGGGTCTGAGCTACCATCTGGTTTTATTTCCTTACTCCAGTACAGCTTTGTTTCCACTCACCTCCTCTGTGCTGTTACTGGCAAACATTTTACATCTGCAGATAAGCCCAACAATAAAATTATATACATATATACGAAAATATACACAAATATATACATATTGTTTATGCAATTATTCTTTAAGTCAGTTAAGCATAGAAAGAAGAAATATGCCACTGTATTAGCTTTTATAATTAATTACATTTATCATTGCCAGTACTCTGTTTTTTCATGTGAATTTGAATTACTATCTGGTATCACTTGCTTTCAGGCTAAAGAACTCTCTTCAGTATTTCTTGCATGGCAGTTTTGCTAGAAAAAAATTCCATCAAATTTTGTTTATAAAGGAATGTATCTATTTCACCTTCATTTTCTAAAGATAGTTTTACTGGATTTATGATCCCTGGTTGAAGTCTTTCTTTCAGTACTATGAATATGTCATCCCACTGCCTCCTGGTATCCAATGTTTCTGATAAGAAGCCAGTTGTTAATCTTATTGAGGTTCTCTTTTACATGATGAATATTTTTTCTCTTCCTGCTTTCAAGATACTCTCTTTACTTTTGGTTTTCAATATTTTCACAATATTTTCACTGTATGGCTACAAATCTCTTTGTATTGTTTCTATTTTGAGTTACTTGAGCTTCTTGGATGTGTAGATTAATGTTTTTCATCAAATTTGGAAACTTTTCAGCCATAATTTCTTTGAATATCATTTCTACTGGTTTTCCTCCCCCTCTCTTCTCCTCTTATACTCCTATTTTACATATGTTGGGCGCACTTAATGGTGTCCCACATTTCTCTGAGGCTTTTTCCATTTTTCTTCATTCTTTTTCCTCTGTATTCTTCAGATGGCACAATCTGTAACTGATATAACTTCAAGTTTCTGATTCTTTCTTCTGCCAGCCTTAATGTGCAGTCCTTTTAGTGAAATGGTTACATTAGTTATTGCATATTTTACCTCAAGAATTTCCACTTGGTTCCTTTTAAAAATAATTTCTATCCCTTTATTAATATTTTACATTTGATTAAACATGTTCTTTGAACATATTTATAATGGCTGCTTTGAAGTCTTTGCTAAATCTAACACTTGAATCTTTTTAGGAGCAGTTTCTATTACCTGCTTCTTTTTTCCCCTATGTACAGATCACACTTTTCTGTTTCTTTGCAAGTCTCATAATTTTTTGTTGGTAATTGATATTTTAGATAATATAGTATGGCAATTCTGGACACTGATCCTACCTCCCTGAGTGGTTGTTCCTGTTGTTTGCTGTTTTTTTTTTTAATAGTGACTTGGCTAAACTGATTCCTTGAAATTTATTTCCTCTGTAGTATGCAACCTCTGATGTTCCTGCTCAAATTTCTTCTTGGTTTTTAATCTTTTATCTGGCAATCTAGGAGTTTCCTTGGGTTAGCATAGGTCAAAAGTCATGATTAAGACCCCTTATCCAGTTAGATTTTTACCTTTTGCCACTGAATGTATATGTGGCTTGAAGGCTGCTATCACAGTTCAAGGAGTTTATGTTTCTGCCTCACATTCAGCCAGGTAGTAGTAACTTGGATTTTTCCTCTTCGGTTACCTCTAAGAGGGCACAGCCTTATGCACGTACAGTCTTTCAGACTACCATGGATATATATAATTTTATTTTTAAGCCTGGCTTCCTAGGAAAGGCTCCTGGGTCAGAGTAGTTTATTGTTCAGCCAGTGGTTAATCAGAGGTTGTGCTTAAGTCCTTAGTGCCAGTGAGGCTCCTGACCTTTGTTGTTTGATCTATGTGAGGCTTGGGGACTGCTTTAAAGTCCACCTTATCTCCTGAGTGGTACACTCTTGTGCTTACGCACAACCTTCCTGCACAGGGTTGACTATGATCCCAAGAGAGCTCTTCTTAGCTGTTCTTTTGATTAGTTCTCTCTGTTAACAAATTTCTGATTACTCAGTCATTTTGCCTGTTGTAACTTGTATCATGGAGCTATGAGTGCCTTCTTAATTGTTCACCACTAAGATTTTCATTGTTTTTGATAATACTCTTAGGAATGGAAGTCTCCATGATCTGTTCCACACAAAGTCAGTTCCTTCAGGTAGAACTGGGAATTCTTCAACTGTAAGGCCTCCTTCTCTCCCTAAGCAGAACCTTTATTCCACTGTGTAAGAGCTAGGGGCAAGGACTGTGGCCCACTCTCCAAGGGTGAAACCTTTTCTTTACAAATGGACGCTGGGATGGTTTTTGGCTTGTTCCTTCTGGCATGAGCCTCTGCCCTAAGCTGGGGTTGGTGCAGTAGGGGTTCAGGATTGTCAGCATGCTGTCCCCAGGTGAGTGCTTCCAACCTCTGAGTGGGGACTGGGAAGGGGAACAGAAAGCTGAGTGGAAGAAGAAAGACCTGGTCCTCTTGAGTTTGCCTGAACAGAACTTCTGCAAAACAGACCTAGGGAATATGAGAAATATCAGAGGCCTGCCCCTTCCAGGGGCAGGTGAAACCATAGCTCTAGTTTAAGAGCTGGGGAAGAGGGAGCCCCCAACTTCTTGACCACATCCACTTGGTTAGAGCTCCTTGAATAGTTTTCATGAAACATAGTTTGGAGGGGGATAAGAGCAGGCTAAATGCCTTAGACTCTTGCTGTTCTTTCTGAGACTTAACAGATTTTCTTGAATGAATGTTTCTCTATTAGCTGTATGCTCCTAGGACAATTTCCAGGAAGTAGGGATGACTGTTTTGTTAAATAATTTTTCTCCAGTTAAATGGTTATATGTTGGTGAAAGAGTTCATCACACTCCTCATTTTGCCATTTTGGAAATCCCTCTCAAAGATCATATTTTAAAATGTTAATACTGGCCCCCAAATCAATCTTATTCACTTACAAAACTGTTTTTTTCTATTTCTAACTTGTATTTGTTGTTTCAATATTCCTTTAAATATATTAGAATGTCTTTTCCCCTCTCCTTCCACTACTAAAATGTAATTTGGATTTTTTGTTATCCTTTTAAAACATTAAATAATTAAGTCTTTGACATAATAGCTTGCTCAAAAGTTCTCTAAACAGCTAAATAAATTATAGCCACTAATTCTCACCTTTGTCCATATGCTCGTGGCTACTTTAGACCTTAATTTATATCACTCATATGAAACCTAGCATGTATTAGGGATGCTTACATATATAACTTTGAGTACCATAAGCTCCTTCATCTTTGATTCCTTAGAGCACTGCTTTCAAACAGTAAGCACTCAAATATATGTAGAATGAATGAACAGGAAGGACTATTTCCTTTAACAGAAATAAGCTATCTTCCCCTAAAAGGTTATGCTTGCTTAAATACTGGCTGAATCTACTCTTTATTGCAGGTCTTCACCTCCCATTGCTACATTCACAAAGCTGTTTCCAATGATGCATCTGTAGCCCCTTCTAGGTCTTATAAGCTACCACACTAGAAAATTTTAAAACACTCTTGGTTATTGTAGGCTTTATTTTATCTAGAGTTAGAGAGCTGTACTACATGACCCAAAGACCCTTAACAGCTTCAGGTTTTGATAACAAAGGAGATCTTTGTAAATCTTGACTAAACCTATGATTCCCTTTAACACTCTTTTATCAGAAAACCCTATGTATTTTACTCAACTCTTGAATACCTTACTTTTCCTCTATAAAAAGGCAGCTTATTTCCAATTAATCTGAATCCCCCTATACATGTAGCTCAAAGTGACATCACCATCATTTACTGACCTCACATAAGACATTAGCAGCAGCAATTATCACATATCTCTTGAAAGAATATTATTCTCAAATTAAAGTTACACATAAACAGTCGAAGTATTTTACCTGTTTTCTAGAGCCAAAACTCGGCTCTGGATATAGCAGTTCCATTAAGACTTAAACAGAAGTCCTAATAAAGACTGATGAAGTATGCCACCCAATGGATGTACTGCCATACTACACTCATAAAATACACACATAACATAGGTTAGCATTTGTAATCTCCTTCAAGTTACCAAAATCCACTAGATAGTAACAGCAGAAACACTGAAGGGAAAGGAAAAGTGGTCACAGCAGGGAAAGGACAGCCTTCAAGAGCAATGACACCTTGATATTCCAGTGACAACTCTGATATACAACCAACTCAAGGAGATCAAGGTAGAGAGGTAACAATGTGCTTAAAAAAATACCGCACTTTACTGTACACCCCTCCCAATCTACAATGGGAGCTGGAAAACTATGTATGGAAACAGCAGAATTAAACTCAAATCCCTGAGACCAACCTAGCTATAATTCTTACCCCCTTGCTGTATAGTTCTATTTTAGAAATTGTTCCTTCAATACGACTCAGATTCAACCACTAGTTACTAAGTACCTACTATCTTCCAAGGCACTGTTTTAGATGCTTTCATACAGATTCTTGTTTCATCTCTTCAGAGTTTTATTAGTTTTTCTCCTAATAGCTTACTTCCCCTTGAGACTCTTTGTTCATTCTCAGGGGGTCATGGGGTTCTTTTAATATCTACAGGGCTTAATTGTGGAAGAATCATTGAATAGGGCACTTGCACACATGAAGAGATGTTTGTCTAGGTGAGAAGCTGAAAACACTCACCTAAGAAGCAAGGAAGAGGGAAAAGAATCAGTAACATTAAGAGGGGCAGGGACAGGAGTCATTTTTATCCTATCATATATCCATTGCTTTTCTCCTGCAGTATGTTGAGAAGATATCCAAACTGGAAAGGGTTAATATAAAGTTCACAACCCACTATATAATAGTCACATTATTGAGGACTGTAGAAGTTTCTACTTTTAGAGAGCAACTCTGTACCTTCCCTATGGCTTGGCTCTGCCAGAAGCGAGAAGCACAGTAGAGAGGAGAAAGCAAGTCATAATCAACAGTTCTGAGTTCCAGTCTCATGGCAGCAGTGGGGCATACCTTTTAGTGCTTCAAATATTCCTGATATTTAAGAAAATTCTTGTTGTAAATACTAACAAAATAATATGGACGAGGTGCTGAAAGATGGAAAATAAGTCCCAAGACTAAACTTATACTCAAAATTTACTCTAGGAAACTAGAAGGCTTATCTAATGGCACAAACTTCTAATACTTATTTTTATATGTGGCCAACGTGTGCTAGGCCTATGGGGCCCCACAGGATTTTACTATTCCTAAACTCCCAACATAATGTGAATACATAATCCATAAAAGAACATTCATCAGATGATTACCTCAAAAAAGTTAAAAAAAAAAGAGAGATAGGTAGACAGACTTGACATAGCAGTTATAATGTTGAAAAATTGGGGGTATATGCAACATACAATTCTATCAACTCAAAAATGTTGTTTTTCCTCTGAATTCCATGCCAGGCCTTAGGAAAAAATGATAACCATACCAATGTATTTTACAGAAAAAAACAAACCTTGAGGCTCACTGAAGAGAGACTGTTTTTTTACCCACCTGGAAAATGGAAAAACACTGGAATCCAGAGGCTTAAGTTGAAGAGAAGGTGTTCTGCTTTCTTCTCCAACAGATGAAAGCCGGCTAGGGCTATCAATTCCCTCATATCCAGTTGTCTTATTATTCAAGTCATCCATATCTTGAATAGAAGGGATCTTCAGTGGATTAGTGAATACCTAGTAAAGAAAGAAACAATTCATTAAAATCCCAATTTCAAACTAAATACCAAAGGATGAGTCAATCCTCTGATGCTAGGAAAGAACACTTGGCCAAATAAAAAGAAACTGTTTCCTACACAAAACAAACAGCGCGCAGTAATGAACACTAGAACACTGACCCCAGGCATGTTCAGTTATAACCTTATCAGCTGGACACCAACAGACCTCCCCAAATCACTTACTGGCTCCTAGAGTCATCCCACCCACAACACAAACCCAGGTCCCCTAATCAGTGTCTAATTCTCTACTGTGACCCAGTTTAAGGCTGAGTTTTCACTCCTCTGAGATCTGTGATGAGGGCAGGGATGGAGGGAATAAGCACTGCAGCAAGAGTCTGTGCTGGTCTTGGAGAAATGCATGCGAGACTAACATGTATTCACATTGCACACACACAGAGACATGCATCTGGGATCTTGTGGGAGAGCCAGCTTATGAAGATAGTATGAATGATGAAGGTGAAGGAGTATAAAGGGGAGGTAAACTGACTGAGGACAGGGCAGTCCCAGGAAATCTCCCAATCTCTAGATCAGACTATTGAGCCAAGACATTAGGGTATGAAACCTGTTTATGAATACACCTGGGTCTTGGTAGGGTGTCAGAAGAATTAGTATTTTTTTGCCTCTATCCTCACCAGTCTGACCTACCCTGACTGAGTGGGTGGAAAGTGAATCTAACATGCTACTAGCAGATATCTCTGGGAAAGAGGGTCAAGAGGAAAATCATGCAGAAAGGCAAGGTTGGGAGGGGAAGATATATGGGTGCTATGGTGGCTGTCAGGAAAGGAGTGTCCCTGAAAGGACGGCCAACCTTATTGCACCCTTCAGCGTCCGGAGCTGGGCAACCATGTCCGAGAGACAGTGCTCCTGAAAATTCAAAACAGCAGAGTCTTTATAAAGCCAGCCAGCCTGAAAGCAGGGATAGGGAAGGGGCACAAAGAACCACCCCTTCTTCCCAAGGAAGGAGGAAGGAATCACCCCTGAATCCTGGAAGAAAGGAGACTGAGGAAAACCAGACACTCAACAGGAGCAGCCTGTATGAGGATGGAACATAACCCTGAATATTCTGTGACAACAAATATGACATTCACACTGTCCAGAATCAGTACTGAATCTAAATATGGGCAATAAATGATTTGGCTCATCTATTTTTGGTGATCTGAACATCAGTAGCAGCAGCTCAAAGCAAAATCAAAAGATCCAATGAAAACAAAAGACCACCAGAACAAATGGTTCATTATTTCTATGCAGCTTTCAAGAGTGCTGCTTCCTTCAACCTATGTCTTCTGTTGGGGAAAATTTTATGTGAGAAAATGAAAAGGGTGGGCTGTCTCTCACCTGGTGGCTCTCATTTTCCATTGGCAACTTCTTCTTCTCAACAGTTTGATCTCTATAGGAGAAGATAAAAGTGCTATTTAGTTCACTCATGAAATTTCTCAGTCTGAAATGGATTACCATTGTAGATTTAGGCTGAAATGTTCCTTCTAAACTAGAAATATTGTGAGCCTCTTTTTGTAACTAAGGGTTCCTTCCTGAACTCTATGATTAAAGAGAGCTTTCAAATGTCCTATCAAAAGAGGAGCAGGGGAAGGAGAGAGGCTAAGTCAACCACTAGTTGAGACATTCAGGAGATGATTACAAAGAATAAAGAATTAGAAGAACAGAGAGATCAATAGGGAAATCATTAAAAACAAAACAAAGAAAGTCATCTCTCATCTCAAAATTCCCCTGTCCTATTAAGAAGGCTCAGGCTGCACTACTGCATGATACAGAACACCACCTCGGGTATACTCAACTGTTTCTTAGCTTTGTTCAAGTACAGGTCTTCATCAATGAGTTCTTGTTCCTCTGGAACAGAGCATCTCCTGTAGTACAGAGAAGAAATCATCTTTTGGAAACAAAATGTGTCCTTCATTTTTACCCCTTACTTTCCTCCCAACTATGACAAGGCAGGTTAACAACCTTCCAACATTATGGAGTTCAGACTCTACCCATATTACAAAACCTGTGTGCAGGTTAACATGTAGCAGTTCTTATTTCGAGGTATATCATATCATTATTTTTGGTGCATGTATCACCTTTCTCCCAAGTCATTCAAAGTACCTGATAGCTACAAAATTCATATTATGGTGGACAGCATAAACATAATCTCTATATTTACACAGTGAGGTTCAAGCACAAGAGACTTGCTTGAGGTTCCACACAAAGGAATATTGCTGAAACTAGAACCTAGGCCTTTTGCCTCTCGTCTACTAGGAAAGTAACTCCCAAAGTGCAGTCTAGAAGCAGAAGAATCCCTAAACTATGTGATGATGCCTGAACAAGGAAATCAGAGGCTATGACAGCAGCAAGAAGAGACTAGGAGCTTCCATTATAAAAAAGAACAGAACAAAGATTAGCTAAGAGGAGAAAGAGAGGATTCCATAAATGAAAAGACACTTGCTATATGTAGTATTTAGCTTATTCTGAAGAAGAGAATTTTGGGAGTAAAAGCTGAAAGGAGTACTAGAACATGTATTCAGAAAATTCCTAGAAACAAATAAACAAAAATTAATAATAAGTGGAAACCCTACGTTATACCCATTTTATAAGAGGACAAAGTGCCCTGAGAGGTTACGTCTTCTGGACTAAGTATAAACTGATAGGATATACAGGATTCAAAAACTGAGACTTCTAAGCACTCTGTCCCATGTTTTAATCACACAATCCCAGTTACTCTGCCTGAAGAGGTACTGAAGCACATCTGGAGACTATGGGGGAATGCTTGCTCATTACAGACCTGGACTTCATTTACTTAATTTTCTCCCTTTTACTTTTTCTAAAAAGCATATTCTGGGTTAGTACCTTTTCTCTGTCAGGATTTACTCTGCAGAAAAAAAATTAAGAAAGTCATAGCTGAATTGAAGCAAACTGAGTTATTACTATGAACCTATGAGACTGACTTAAATCAAAAATATCTGTTAAATTGAAATGAATGCTTATGGCTATGCCAGGCACTATCTAGATGTTAGCTGCTTCAAGGAATATATTAGAAAGACAAACATGCATTGAATGTACATTAGGTACTATAACAGATTCAGGTATAGGAAGCATATGAAGAAAAGCATCGACTCAACCTGAAAAGTAAATCCCTTGTTCTCGAATAGTTTACAATCGCTTGAAGAGCCCAAGTTCATACATATGAAAAACATCCGAAAAATTCAAATAGTATGTGAACAAATGTCAAGAATTAAATACCACAGGAAGCCAGAGTAAAATCACTGTAAACTACTGTCAACAGAGAAGTATCACACAAAATAACCTTCCCAGACAGATATAATTTGGATGCAGATGGAATGCAGAAAGCCACTGTAAGCAAGTGGGATGACAACATCAAGTCCTGGAGGAGGGAATGTCTGTGGCATGTGCAGAGAAGAGTGAAGCCACAGGCCTGCTAAAGCAGAGGGTTTGTGTTAAGATACAATGAATAATTAGGCTGGATAGGTAGAGTGGGACCAGTTAGCACAGGAGCTTGAATGCCAGGCTGAAGACTGTAGATTTGAGATGAAGAACGTTTTAGAATATAGAGACAAATCAGGTGTTATCTCTGGCATAATATTGAGTCTTAACCTTACCTGTACTTTGGATGGGAATTATAGTAACAAAACCATCTTGCAGGTAATGTAGATGGATCAACCTTGCCAGGAAGCTTTCTCCATTTAAGACATTCATCACATTGTACCCATGTCTGATCAGGAATCTTCCTGAGTGAAGGAAAACAGAAGTATGACTGTATATTCTAGCTCTGTGCTCTGTCTTATATTAGGGAGGCATACCCTAAAAGCAAAAAAAACATGATTTTATATATGAAATGTGTTAGAAATATTATAGTAAGATGTCTAAAAAATATATATATACATATCTTGATCTTCATAGATAAAACAATGATAGAACTAGACCAGATATGGATATGAAAAATAGTAGCAAGTCTTAACGTGGTGAGCTACCATGTTATAGAAGTCAATAGTATTTATCCCAGAATCTCTCTTTTTTTTCCTTTTCTTTTTTAATTAAAAAAATTTTTTGCAAGAGGAGTTAATTGGGTTTATTTATTTAGTTTATTTTAAGTGGAGGTACTGGGGATTGAACCTAGGACCTTGCCCATGCTAAGCATGTGCTCTACCTCTGAGCTATGCCCTCCCATCTATCCCAGCATCTCTTGCTCTAAGCAAACAAAAGGATAATTTTAACTTGAAAATGCATTAATCAGCAAAAAAATTGATATATATTACAGTATTACTAAAAAGTAAAACCCATAGTATCATTTTATTTGCTTCTATACAATCCCATGATAGATTTGAAATGCATTTCTGAGAGTTATTGAAGCATCGTCATCAAAATGTCTACCCCATTTCCCTGCAGTCTCCCTAGTCCTCTTTTTTTTACCTTTCAAAATTTCTTTGTTTATACTTAAATCAAAATTTTATTAGTTTGATATTCCCAAAGTTAATCCGAAAAAGTAACAAATTTGATTACATTTCATAACTAGAAATGGTGGCTCCAGTCCAACAACTGGGTTAAATTATTAAGATAAAATTCTTCAAGAGTTCTACTTTTAAAACACATACCCATTTCCATCTCCCCCAGGAAGTGTAACCCAATGACCTACACTTTAAAGTGAATGTGTTTCTCTGTAAGAGGAGGTGGTCCATATATAGCAGAAGTAGTCAGCATCTAATATGTGAAAGGCAGACCAGAGTGGGAAGGGGGAAGGCTGGAGAAAAGCACAGAAAGAGAGTAGAGACGCACCTAGAACCAAGTTGTAAACCATGTAATTTAGCCTAGGACAGTTTTCTGTATGTTACATTTATACTGTTCTTATACTGGACATTTTAATAAAGTAGTGTGATTCTTTTATGTCTTAGTTCAATATTTTTCTTATCTTTTTGAATAGTCCTTTTTTCCTACTTATAAAAGCAATATCAGTGTATATAGAAAAACTAGAAAATACAGAAATATATAAAAAAGAAAATAAAAGATGCTCATAAGTCTACCACTCAAATACAATGTCCCCTTCTTGTTCAAGACTCTGTTTTAACAAAAAGAATTCATACACGTTTTCGGACACACAGCTTCCTATCTCCTAGCTGCTGGCTGCTACAGGCTTGCAACCTTTAAGCTCTAAGCTCAGGCCTGACCTCTGGTGTCTATATATTTCCATACAGCGACTGTTTTATTTAGAGCCAGAGAAAGCAGTTTCAGCAGTAATGGAAAGAGAAGAAAGGTCCTATTAGCTTTGGTTTTACATGCACATGCACAGAAGAGTCTCTTGCAGAAGCACGCCAATATTACTTTCTCAGGGACAAGCATTAGAGACAGCAACTCCCTGCCTCAGGTTACATGCAGGCCATAGTAGATCCTTTCATCCAGGCAGATAGGAGAGGCTTTTAGCTCGTGCTTGTAATAAATAGGTAGTTGCAGGGGCTATGACATATCCTTCTCATTGCATCCTTCCAGAAGGGTGTTGTGATTAAGAACTTGGGTTTGGGAGCTGGGCTGCCTATAATTTTGGACCTTGGATCTACCAGTTTCTACTTGTCTAGTCTTGAACAAGTTATTTAAGCGCTCAGTGTGTCAGTGTCTACATTTGCAAAGAAGTAATAATATCATCTGTCTAGTTCACAGGGTTGTTGTGATGATTAAATAAATGTAAAAACATGGAAAGAACTTAGACAAGTACCTGACATATAAGTAAGTACTTAATAAATAATCATTATTACAATTCTATCTCCAGAAAGGCTATATAGCATACATACACACAGTCTAGGAATATATGAACATCTGTTTTATTGCATTAGTCACTGCTTACTTAAAAGGCAAAAAAAGCATCTCATCTTAATCTGCATTTCTTTGAAAATCATGGAGGTTGGGCATGAGCAAGGATCTTTAGAATAAGACAGTGATATTCATATGGCAGTGAATCATGTTGCATCTGAAACAAAATTTTATATCACACATTTGTCTGATGATTTCCATCTGAAAAAACAGGTGCTTATCCCAAAATGAACTTTTAACACTCTAGTCTTTGTCTTGATGGTGTAATTGACTGTATACGTGTTATTACCCACTCTATCCTCTGTGTTATGCTCCTTTCTTGGCTTACTGAGGCATTTCATCCTGATCCACCATTCTGTGTATAATTCCCTGTCTTAGATTCAATAAATTCTACATTTTTCTGATGTGTTGGGTTCTCTATTTCTATTATCAAATTTCTTGGTACGGTTCCAACAATGTTCACTAGGAATAAAGGGAAGGGAAGTTTGCTAAGATTTCTGAATGCCTACTATATGCCAGGTACTGTGCTAAAAAGGTTATGTCACCTTATTGAATATACTCAGAGAGGTGAAAGGACTTACTTACTCAAGCTCATCCAACTATTAAGAAGCAGATCCAGATTTTCAAACAGGAGTAGCTGATTTAAATGCCTATCATCTTCCACTATATCACACTGCCTATAGGATAAACTGACAGTACCAAACTCTTCATATTTATGATCCAAACAACATAAGTATTATACCAGAATGAAGAGGTCTAGAGAGAATGATGAAGTTAGTACCTGTGATTTCCTGTTTTTAGTTAATTAAACTTCCTTATGCAAAAACACCACCTTACCCTATTCCTTCCATTTGCTCTATAGAAATTACCCTTAATATTTTTATATTCTAAAGTTACTACTCACGGTATTGGCCTGACTATGGCTGAGGTCTCAAAATTCTCTTGGGAGGTCTTTTCCTTCCAATAAGCATTGAGCTTCTGGGCAAGGGCATTTATTGTCAACCTGACAGAAAAATAAATAAATAAATAAATAAATGTACTTAAGCATATCAATGTTGAGAATTTGTTGAATAATTTTGCAATCTTTAAGATGCTACCATTTAACAGAAACCAGCAATTTAGAATATTCACCATAGGTTTGAATATCTAAACTTTCAGAAACTAGGATGGGAATCCAATGCCTTTGCAAGTTACATGTCAAAATGACAAAGTCATAATATTGAATAGTCACTTTGGTTGAAAAGATAAGATGATTACAAGTCTTAAAAAATACTGTGTTCTCCAAATTTTCAGGGCTTTTAGAATCGTGGTGAGGGGAGCTGATATTAGAGACAATGACGGAAGACTAAATAGTAGATATGTTATTGGGGGGTTATTGTCAGATAACTACAGATAAACAATTCAGGACCAAGTTGAAAGTCAGAGGGTCAAATACCGCACCCTATCTATTACAAATCAATCAAATACTTAAATGTCTGTATAGTTCTTCATCTAAATGTTGATCATAGCAGTTACAGCACCAATGGGCAACAAAGTCTCCTTCAACCTTCCACCACATAGCTGTTAGTGGAGGCTGTACCTTAATTATGGCTCTTGCCTTTTCTCCTTTATCTTTTCCCAAATGAACAAAAGCAGACCCAGGGTCAAATGATGTAATGTGTATAAAACCTGAATTTTACTTTTAAAAACTGCCGATTTCTAGTGACTAATTCCTATTTAATTCTACAACCCAGGATTACAACTTAATGTAGAGCTGTAGATAATTGAAATACTACAAATTTAGTATTTTTAAAATCTCTTGACTCCCTGGATCATTCCCCAAGGGTTTTGCAGACCTCTTCTCTCCTAAAGAGGAATTCTTCCTTAACTCCTTACTCATATTAAATTAGATTCTGACTGCACAGAGAAGATTAAAATAATTATATATAAGCTTCCCTATAAAAATCTTATTCCCCTACAACATACCAATGTTCCTACCTCTATGCTTATATCCTTATCTAAAAGTCACAGATGAAGAACCATTCCTTGTTTTCTCTTAAAATTCTACTTTAAATCTACTTAAAAAATGTAGATTGGGGGTGGTGGTGGTGATATTGCTCAATGGTAGAGGTAGAGTACATGTTTAGCATGCATGAGGCCCTGGGTTCAATCCCCAGTACCTCCATTAAAAAAAAATCAATCAATCAATCAATCATTTGAAAAAAGTAGATTAGATGGGATTCTGGGAAGATGGTAGAACAGGAAGCACCAGGAATCTGCTTCCCCATCTAGAAAACAATTGCCCTGGCAGAATCTGTCTAATGTAACTATTTGGAACTCTGGAGTCTACTGAAGACCTATAATTTCCAGGGGAATTCTTGGATCATAAATTGGCAAATTTCAGCTTTTAGTGGTAGCTATTCATCTCCTACCCCAGTCCTCTGACAGGCAGCTGTCTGTGCACATGTTCCAAGAGCAGCTTGCAGGAGCCAGGGTGGGCAAAAAGGACCCTGTCCTCTAAATACTAGGGATTTGTGCTCTGATCACTGTTTGCTACTCCTGATCACAGGATCATGTAATTCCTTTGTAACCACAAAGAAATAGCTATAAAACATACACAAAAGGAAATGAAAAGAATTTAAAGGTTTCACTACCAAAAATCAACTAAACACAAAAGAAGATAGTAATACAGGAGATGAGGGACAAAATATCTATAAAGAGCATGTAAAATAAATAGCAAAATGACAGAAGTCCTTTTTATCAATAATTACTTTAAATGTAAATGGATTAAACTCTCCAATCAAAAGATACAGAGAGATAGGTAATATATATGGGTTTAAAAAATGATCTAAGTATATGCTGTCTATTGGAGACTAACTTTAGATACAAACACACAAATAAGTTGAAAGTGAAAGAATGGAAAAGGATATCTCATATAAATAGTAACCAAAAGAGAGCAAGGGTGGCTATACAAATATTATACAAAATCACAGACTACAAATCAGAAGAGCTAAAATGTGGAAGCAACGCAAGTGTCCACTGATGGACAAAATGCAAAATGCAGTATATACATACAATAGATTATTATTCGGCTTTAAAGGAAGGAAATTCTGACATATGCTACAACATAGACGAACCTTGAGGACATTATGTTCATGAAATAAGCCAGTCCCAAAAGACAAATATTGCATGACTTCACTTACATGAGGTATTCATAGTAGTCAAATTCATAGACAAAAAGTAGAATGGTGGTTGCCAAGGGCCAGGAAGAGTTAAGAATGGGGAGTTATTGTGTAATAGGTAGAGAATTTTAGTTTTGCAAGATAAAGAGTTCTGGAGATGGATGGTGGTGATGGTTGCATAACAGTATAAATGTACTTAATACCACCAAACTGTACACTTAAAAATGGTTAAGATGGTAAATTTTATGCTAGGTATGTTTTACCACAGTAAAAAATGAAAAAAGTGACTAGATATGTGGTCACCAGGGGTTGGAGAGGAGGGGAAATGGAGAATGACTGCTAGTGGACAAGGGGTTCCTTTTGGGGATGATGAAAATGTTTTGGAGTTAGAGAGTGGTGATGGCTGTACACCTTTTTGAAAATACTAAAAACCACTGAAGTATACCATTTAAAATGGTGACATTTATGGTATGTGAATTATAGCTCAACTTAAAACATAAAAATAAACTTCTGTTCTCATGTATTCAGGCAAAAATATTAAGGTAAAATTTACACAGGATAAAATTCATCTTTTAAAGTGTGTAGTTCTATCAGTTTTGAGAAATGCATACAGCCATGCAAGCACCACCTCAATCAAGACACCGTTCTCATGTATTCTGAAACCCCACTCCTTCTTGCAAAAACCTGCCTTGACTCCACTGTTCTGTTAATATCCTCCCTTCTACTTCCCCAAACTTGGTATATGTGGTCTATACCTACTACCTCCTCTTCATTCTCTCTTGTCTTAATCCTCTACAATCAAGTTTCCACCATTGCCACTACATGAAACTGTTCCTTTTCCCAACCTCATTATCTATCAATGATCCTGCCAATGTCCCAGTCTACTCAATTTGAGGCTTTGAAGTGACCTTTGATTCTTTCCTCTCCTTTATTTCCCTTATCCCATTATTAATATATCACCAAATTTTCTGATCTTTTTTTCACACTATCTGTCATATACTTCCTTTTTCACAGCTACTCTTATTTCAGGTCGTCACCTCATACCTAGATTACTCCAATAGCATTTAATCTTTTTTTTCAATCTATCCTGCATTCTGTTTTCAGATTTATCAACTGACATATGGTTTATAAAGTGCTTTCACATAAAGCAGCTTATACACCATAAACCAGTGCATAAGTACAATGTACTATATTCTTAAGATAGAATTGTTTCAAGTCACTTCTCTATTCAAAAATATGCAATGAATTCTCATTGCTTAAAGTATCAACTACTCTATCCAATGTCCCTCTAAGACAGAAGTTCTCAAACCATCTTGGTTCATGGCACCTTTAGTGTCTCAAGTTTCTCACGACATCCTTCGGTCAAAAGAAATATGTACTAGTTCCATTTACTATTAAACAGTTAGGTCCATACAACTTTATAAGTATTTATGTACTAAAATTTAGTATCCATTTGAAAAAAATTATATATATATATAAATTTAAAATTTAAAAATTATATATATATATATATATATATATATATATATATATATATATATATATAAATTAAAAAAATTCTACTTCATTCTTAAATAGCCACAATTACATATAGTGGGATGGGTATGCCTGTTGGGTACTGCTCAACCACTCAAACCTTGGAATCAAATTGGACACAGCTTCCCTCATTTCTTATTCAATACTGATTTTTATCTATTACTTGCTTTTTATCACAGAAATCACAAAAAAACCCCAGATTCACAAAGATGTGATGCAATCAAAAGGAATGTAAACATTTTTGTACCTGGAAGTGGGGTGCTACTATAACAAATACCTAAAAGTGCAGAAGAAGTAGCTTTGGAATTGGGCAGTGAGCAGAGGCTGGAAGAATTTGAGGAGCATCACAGAAATTGCCTGGATTACCTTGAACAGACTGTTATTAGAAATATGGATGTTAAACATCCCACTGGTGAGGGCTCAGAAGCACAGAGCATGGTACAGAAAACACAAATTTCCTCAGAGAATTTCTGAAACATTGTGAACAGACTGTTAGTAGAATTATGGGTGTTAAAGTTGTTGCTGGTGAAGGCTCAGAAGGAAATGAGGAACATATAATTGGAAAACTTGAGGGAAGGTGATCCTTATAGTGGCAGAAAGCTCAGCAGAATTGTGTCCTACAGTTATGTGGAAAGCAGAACTTATAAATGATAAAACTGGATATTTAGCCAAGGGGATTTCCAAGCAAAGTGTTGAAAGTATGTCCTGGTGTTGGTTGCTGCTTACATAAAATGTGAAAGGAAGGAAAGAAATTGAGGGAAAAATTGTTAAACAAAAAGAACCAGGACTTAATGATTTTGGAAACTATCAACTTATCCAGACAACAAAGGATGCTAAAATTTAGAGATTCACTGTCAAGAATACATGCTCTAGAGAAAAAGCCAAGGCAGTGGCTGGACAATCTTTTGCTATTATTTCAGGAAGATCAAAAGGTCAATGTATTGAGTCACACAGAAACCTCTCTGAAAAGATTAAACATTTCAATCAGATCTCTACCACCATCTCAGCAGAGCCAAGAACAGAAATAGGATTATCTAGGAAAGACCTGTCAAGAGTGTTGTCTAATGGAGTGAATATCCACCATATATACTTGAGACCCACAAGGTCCTTAAGAATAGTATACGAGAACAAAAATTGCTAGACTGGATTGGATTGAAAGGGACAGAGAGAGTATAGATGAAAGATGGTTTTTGGACCCTCAAAACTCTACAGTCAGGAAACAGGCTGATGAAACTACTCAGCTGAAAATACATCCTACTTTACATGAAGAAGGAAAGATGACTCTGAGGGTGGTGCCATGAACCCA